TCCTTTGGCACGCCGATTTTGCGACAATAAACTGCATGTATTTGTGTTTTCATCGAAGGAATAATACGTTCTCAGGTATAATCGACGATTTCATTTATGAATCCGGATATTGGACCCAGAAATTTCATAAAACTGATTTAAAGTATGCATTAACGTTAAATAATATGTAGACCAATTTACTCGAATATCGATCCTCGTTCGATGCTTATTATTTAACGTCTCTTATGCCGTACGTTGTTCATTGTTAACAATACCGTTTTGTATAGATAAACAGGGATAATACTTGGTTTCACAGCACGACACGAAAATCCACGCGTAAAATACTCGGGCTAATTTGACTGTTCCTTTAGCGGTGCGAGCGAATATTTGTTAAAAAATAAACGTTTCATTTGAAAGAGGAAATAATACGCTAAAGGCAATTTTAAAGGATTTCAAAGGTATTGAGAACAGTGGAAAATTATCTTTTGAATTATTTAAAGAGCATACATTTCACTTGTAAACTTTTCATTTTTTTTTTTAGTATGGAATATTAAACGTATTTTATTGATGAAGTTTTCTTTCGTTAGAATGAACACGTTATGCAGTTCAATTTAATTAAATATAAATTTACGTAATGGGAAGTATAATTGAGGTTGCTCCATTGTAGTTTTATGTTATTATTACTTCAGAGAAAAACGCAAACTTCGTTTTAAAAAGCTGACCTAGTAACCTCGAAATGAATTTTTCACGACTTATTTACCCCTACGCGTGAAATATTTTTTTTATTCTTACATTATTTTGTTGTACTGTCAACTGAATAGATATGCCTGTGCGTTCTCTAGAAAATATATACGTAAGCATGTTTTGTACAGAAATGAATTAATCCTCGGAATCTTGAAAAATCGGGTCAAGTGAAACTGTTTTCGAGAAACTCGCGAAATTTTGCAAACATTTGAAAGATTGCTCCTTGAAAAATAGAATTATTTCGCAGCTAGTGGAAATTGAACATGAAAAGGTGAACGAATCAATGTTTCAAAACTTACGTTTAAATTTTTAAAATTTTCTAAGGAATCCTAAATATTATTTATTGCTACAGCCCACTTAGCAATCAATTAAAGCAGTCCAACAGAATTAGCCTAATTCAGATTTCCATTGTTAACAATTAAAAAACGAAATAACAATTCTATTTTATACAAGCACTGTGCCTATATGAAAGATTATTTTGTATTTTCAAAAGACAAAAGAGTAAAAATCGCTATAGTTGTTTTACATCAATAATAACTTGATTCTAATAATAAAAAAGAATTTTTAAAAAATATTTCTCGCTCTCTGGTTATTTTTATTTATTTACATATACACGTGTGCATGCTATTAAAAATTTCACGAGTTGCTTTCTTCAGTACTTCATATTCACTTCATAAAGTATCTAGCAATGCAGTATTAATTCAGACTTTCAAATTTCTCAATCATTTTATAACAAAATATTGATCGCAAAAGGATGAAAAATAAAAATTTGTTTATGTACACCATTGATTAATATTCGACACACCTATTCATTTTACAGTTCGTCGTAAAATTATAAATCAACGCACAGTGCACGATTTTATTACAACAAATCTCTTTGTAATAATTTATATTACGACATAATAAATTATGTAGCGTTTCAAGTGAATAGCAATGCAGTAAATTACACTCTGAGAACGGTATATTTATTACTTGATAAAAGTAACGCGAGACACGTATATATGTATATGTAATAGATCGAATAATTTACTTTAATCACAAAAGAATTTATTTTGCATATATTGAACACGATAAAAAGAAATTGATAGTTTATTTTTGAAGAGATGCAAATAATTTCTTGAGGTGTATTTCCTTATGTTTAATAAGAATTTGAAATGAATACAAGTTTTGTGAGTAATAGTTTCATTTCTTATTTGAAATTGCATCGCCACGAGAAAACTGTGGCAAGTGGAAAACGTAAAATTATCGAGGAGAGCGAAACGGAAATTTTAAA